CAATAAAAATACAAGAAAACGAAGAAAAACGCAACAAATCGATCCAGGCAGGGAAATTTAACAAACTCTTCTAATACAATAACAAATAGATTACTATATCCATCCCTTAAAACCTTGTCATTTTTCCATTTTTTTGTCCCAAAATTTTTCACTTTCCTATTCAAGTAATTAATTTATGGCTCCTATCATTTTCTCTCCCTCTATACAAACCTCAACCACATAATTTTTTGTTTATGATGATTTTTCGTGTTGATCAAACTTGGCAAACTTTTGAAGGACGGGGAGTACATAATAAACATGTTAAAGAAATAAAAATAAGAAAATGAAAAAAGAATTAAACAAGTGATGTGGTATGGAAATAGAAAGAAAACTACTTGAAAGAAAAGAAAAAAAAGGAAAATTGTCAAATAAGTTAACATACTATGTCGAAAAAGTCGATTAGGTCGTATTTTAAAACCATCCAATTAGATCCTCAAACTTGTAAAAAATATTCATATGAGCAATTTAGTCGGTAACTAATAGGTTTTCCGATTCAAATGTCCACGTGGCGCCACATTCATACCAGTACTAGGCCCGAGACTTGGAACCGTAAAACCGGGAAACCGATCCGAACCGAATTTTCCGGTTTGGTTTGGTTCCTATAGTTTTGGAATTCACCTATTTTCGGTTTGGTTCCTATAATATTTGATCAGTTCGGTTCCGGTTCGGTTCCAGTTCCTAGACAGGAGTGATCTTCATTTGAGGTGCTTCTGGGTGATTTTTTTTGATGAAATTTTGTGAGCTTGTTTTTCATGAAATATAGATTATGTCCACCGAATTTGAGCTTAACATTCAATCGGGAAGTCAGTTAAATAAATTATTGAAAAACACTACGTCAAAATATCTTATTTAACTCACTTCCCGATTAAATTTTAAGCTCAAATTTGGTGCATATAATCTACACTTCATGTAGAACACGCTCACAAAATCTCATCATAAAATTCTACTCGGAAGCACCTCGAATTGAGGTGGTCACACGGCGTTCCCGGCAGAAAATTCTTGTCATGAATCATTGTCTTACATAATATACCTTATATATTGTGGATCAAGGCAATCCAAGTAGTTGTTATTTTACTACTTTAGTTCACTTTTTAATTTATTGTTTGTTTGTAATTGTATTTGTTATTTGAGTTCACCTCAAAAAGGAATTAATATTCTACTGATTACGTTGTTATTTGTTCATAGTAAATTACTAATATTACCAATCAATTTATTACTACATACTTTTTACTTATAGTGCATTACTAGTGGAAGAATATTATTGTGGGGTTGAACTACCTGCTATTGGATGTGTACCTTGGAGCTATTAAACATTTTGTTTGACATTTGATGCCTATTTTAAACCTTTATGTTTTTGTTATGTTTAAGTTTAATGTTTGGACTTGGATATTTTTGTGATATTTGAACATTTAGGATATCATGTATCTGTAATGCATGGGTCATAATTTCATTATTTGAAATTTGAATTTTTTATGTAATTGGAGGTAAAATGTGTTAATTTTAGAATGATAATAAATTTTTATCAGGAACCGAAAAATGTTAAGAACTGAACCGAATTTAACTAGAACCAAACCGCATTTAACAACTACATTTTTAACTAGAACCGAACCGAATTTAACGACTACAATTTTTAATACGGTTCCATCGAATTTTAAGAAGAACTGAACCGGTCCCAGACCTAAATTGAAAATAATTTAAAGGGGTTGTTGGGTAACATCACATCGACTATCGTTCGTACCCTTCTCTTAGTCTTTTCACGAAAATCTAGAATGGCTCCTGGTGTGCTTCTTCCTCCATTTAAATTAATGACGCCGGCGGTAGAAGCTTAAGGGGAAAATGCCGGCGTTGGTAAGGAATAAAGATAGAGTCATGTCTTCTTCTTCCTCATTCATAGGAGAAGAAGCTTCTTTTTCCTATCCAATTGCAGGAGGACACCGGCGATGGAAACTGAAGTATATGATGTTAGTAACGGCGCTGCCGCGCTGGAGACCAGAACAGAAGACGCCGGCAGATGACGATGGAACCTATATCCAAAGACATCGGTGACGGACAAACTCAACAAAGCAAATCTAATTCTCAGTTTCTCACTATTTTCATGTCATTTTGTTTCTCTATCTTTTTTTTCTTCTTTCGTGATTCTCCTGAGACTCCCCTGCAGTTTTTTCTCATGGATTGATGAATGGGTATCCACTATCCACTTTTGTACATGCTTTTCCAACGAATTAACTCCCTATTTTCCAGCGACTTGTTATGTGGAATGTAAAGAAAGGTTGGTAGCTTGAGAAGACAAGGGAGAGGGAAGCAAAAAACGAAAATGAAAGATAAAAGAGCCAAGTGGAGTGCCACATGTATAATCTGACCTGCTAACAGGTTGTTTACCGGATAATAGTATGATTTGAACAATTTTTAAAACTTAAGGGATTTGATTAAGTGATAATTTAGTACGAAGACTTAAATTAATTTTTTTGATATAGTACAAGAACTTATTAGTCAATTTTCTTAAGAAAAAAATGATATATGACTCTTTACAAAATATTAGTGAAAGATGGGTTTTTTGAAAAGGTAAAAACTCTGGAATAACATATTACAAAGATACGTGCGTGCATGAAAATAAACTAATTACAAAGATAAAATTATTCTAAAATTACATAAAGGCAAAACTATTTTTTGAAAATCAATGAAAGATTGAATTATTGTTATCAACTAGTATTCTCACTCGTGCGATGCACGGTCGAAATAAGAATCTTATATCAATTACATGAAAATATTGAAATCCAAAACGATACATCAAAACCTTTAAAATGACCATTTTAGGGACAACAAATAAAATCATGTCATTAGCACATGTTGACCCATATTGTCTTCGCCGAAACTTTAACGGAAGTCACACTTGATATGAAGTTAATTATAGCCTTGGAATTAGCACTTGTTGACCCATATACTTCTAAAATATGATCACCAAGCCTTCTTGTGATAAGCCTTGTTCCATTGCACAAAACCGATCTATGTTTAGATGAAGTATGGATGGAATATTTAATCTAAGTTAACAAAGTAAAAAATGAAAGTGCACCGCAACATAGAACTCTGTAGTACACAATATATTGGATCTCTTACATCCAAATATTATACATTTATAAAGTATAAGCATGACTTCAATATCAATACTTTAACAAAGTATTTTTTATTTTTATAGATTAAAAGTAAATCTAATTTTTTATTACAAAAAACTTTTCGATGAATCACTATCTTCATCTAAATCATGAGAGTTCAAATACGGAGAAATGCTTAGAGAATATGAAGATACCTCGTTGGAAGTTATTTTCCCCTTCAAATTGAGCTTGACACTTCAAGTAGGCATGGACCCGGTTCGGGCCGCCCGGCCCGGGACCGGCCCGGCCCGCCACTGTGCGAGCCCGGAACCGGCCCGGTTCTCGGGTCCGGGTCCGGGTCGGGCCTAGGCCCGGTGGGGTGGCCGGGTCCGGGCTCGGGCCTTGAATTTGGCGAACCGGCCCGGCCGGGTCGGGCCCGGGCCCGGGCCGAATTGATTTTTTTTTAATTTTTTTTTCTTTTTTTGGGGTTAGCCAAGTTGGGCTTGATGGTTAGGAGGGGTTTGGGGGTTTGGGGGGGTGTGGGGGTGAGTGGGGGGGTTAGGAAAGCAAAAAAAAAAAAAAAATTATAACCGAACCGGAGGCCCGGCCCGGCCCGGCCCGGACCCGGTGGCTACCCGGGCCGGTCCCGGGCCTTCCTTCCCAAAAAAAAAGCCCGGCCGGGCCCGGCCCGGAACCGGAACCGGCCCGGCCCGGGTCCATGACTGACTTCAAATCTAGATATTCAAATGCAGATTATCACTAATTAGTTGATGCTTAACATGTTCACCGACCAAAATTTTATATTGGATAGAGCCAGACCATTAAGAATGATGAAAGAACCTTTGGTAAAAACTTTTTTAAAAATCTAAAAAATGAAATAGTCAAGTTTTCTGACTTTGTCCTGAAAATCTCATTATCCAACATTTAAGGGGTATACTACGGGCCTAAAAAAATTAAAATTATTTAGGAATAGAATTTTTATTAATCTATCTAGTCCAGTAAAAGTACAATATTGGCCCGTTTGCTTTTAAACTAAAAAACTGCATAAAACGGTCATTGGCCTGTAACATTAAATAACCCTTACCGTCCCTTAGCTTACGCCATTCACATATACTACGTAAATTATATGTAGCGCTTAGGTTTGTGCAAACTTAATTCCTAACCATTCGTCTTCAGATCATTAATTCTGGAAAAAATTAGTGTTTATTACTGGTGGAATACGAAAAGTTATACAGCACTGAGAATCGAAACCTAGAAATGTGTTATACAGCATTAACTATATATCCACGTGAGAAAAGCTTTTTCGAGAATATTCTGTGAGAAACTATACGAAACCAAGAGGATTCACACTAAAGAAATGATTCATTGCTTTTTGGCGGGAACTTGCTCCCTAAAAAACGTTATTATATTAAGATAGATGTTTTCAATTTAGGATTTTTTTATTGGACAGATGCTTTCTAATTTGATCTTATTTGTTTAAATATGTTCAGATCTAAATCTGAAATTAATCCAATCAATAATAAACTAAATTTAACATTACATTTTTGCTACATGTTTGGATTTTTTTAACAAGTTTTTCGACGATTCTGCAACAATTTTATTCCTGCAAGGCTTGCACTACGATTTTGTAGAGTACAAAAATGTCATTATGACAATTGTTGAAGAACTAAGAGCACCAAATCTGACAATAATCGGCACGCTAGACAAGGAAACGTCCAAAAATGAGAACTAGTGTCAATTAAAATCGAAAATCTATATATCACTCATGTGACCCTGTCCCAAAATGAATGTTACGGAATAGATCAGTCCAGTAAAAACTACATCCACAAACCAGGTCGTACCTAATAACTAATTTTAAATGATACGTAGTAAAAAAGAAGTAAATGCCCGTATACGAACACAACACAACACAGCATCCCCAAAAATGCCAATGCCATTATACGTACGGGGTTTTTAGTGCATTTGAGGAGTATATGTAAAAATAGTAAGATCATCAGAGCCTTGATATGAGCCTCAAGACTGAAATAAAGAAATAAACATAGTAGCACTACAGCCAACAGGCTACTACTTTATGAGTTACAAAAAAAAAACTACAAATCATTCAACTTTTCAGGAAAAAGATTGGGTTTAATTTTGAGGCATTGGTGAAGACACTCATTCTGACTTGAGCTAGTAAGGCAAACAAGTCAAATTTATTGTCACTGACAGATTTGAGTGGTGATTCCCTATGAATATAATGGAATCAACAGGATGATAGTGACTGAGCGACACTCACAGCGGACCAGGAAATGTGCCGTTCTCTCTTTGCTCATTCCATCTATCCACCTGCATTGTAATACAAAACTCAGAATTGAGGTAGGGTTGTAGTGTCACTGCAGAGTGATGCCAACTATCCGATACTAACTATGCCATGTGTGTGCTTTCCCCAAACAAGATAATTACAAGAAGAGGAAGAATGAAAGAAGACCAGTACAAGACTCTCTAAACCATAACTAGCGCATTGAACCCGCTTGGACTTAGATGTCCATGTTGGCACTATGCCATGTGTGTGCTTTCCCCAAACAAGATAATTACAAGAAGAGGAAGAATGAAAGAAGACCAGTACAAGACTCTCTAAACCATAACTAGCGCATTGAACCCGCTTGGACTTAGATGTCCATGTTGGCACTAAGAAAAGATCCACGAAGCACATTGTTTAGGAAAGCAGAAAAAATAGGGCCATTGGGTACACCCCATTTGGTAACTGGAATTGGTTTACAGATTATATTACAACAGAACAAGATTACAAAACACACACACACACATGTGTCCGTGTGTGTAACTATGCGAGTAATAATAATAAAATAATAATAAGAGAATGAACAGACAAAAGGATAAAAAATTACCCATTCTCCTGGGCAAAGGGAGCGATAATACTTTGCGAACTTGTCACACTCAGGTGCACTGTCACCCTTGGAAGCAACGCACCTTAAAGGAAAAATAAGATTTGTCACTACAAGGGCAGAAGTATATATGAAGCAAAGGTACAAATGAGAAAAAAATACCAGCATTCCTGGGTTTTGACTCACCTGTGAAATTCAACATATCTGGTAAAGCAGTGTCTGCTCTGGTTTGTAGTTGGAAACCGGAAATCTGCAGGAGCCGTCTCAAGCTGATACAATTTGTGACACAAGAATGAATGAATAAACATAAGAAAAAGAGACACACGGAGTGAGGAAAAGAGAGATAAATGATGACAATATATCACCGATATAGTGAGATACGTTACCAAATATAGGAAATGAATGATTCCACTAAAGCGGCTACTATCCAAGACTTTACCTTAATTTCTGGGGGCTCGTCCTCACTAGCATCTTGACCAACATCTGCACTATCATCTGCTGCATCTTGATTGCTTTCTTCACTTGCAGCTGGGTTGTTGTCCCCACTTTCAACTTCTTCACTGCTTACAGCATCACCAGAGATCACACTACTTTCATCATCAGTAGCAGATGGGATGACTGGGCTGCTCTCAACAACAGAGGCTACATCTTCTTTTGGTGCAGCTTCCTCAGGCAGAGTCTTAACCACATCAGCTACTGGCTCGGTTCCCACATTCAATTTCTCTTCTTGCTCCCTCAGCAAATATTGCTGTGAACAAAAAGTGTTAGATGTTTTGGATGCAGGAAGAAGCCCCTAAATAAGTGGAGTGCAAGAGAATATCTATGTCAAAAGAACAAGAAGGGATCACTATTTTCTTTGTACATGCTAATTATATGTAATCATTGCCTAATTTCATAGAAATGGGTGTGAAGCTAAAGCAAAAGCGGGTGGATTGTTCTAGTGTTAGGAAGGATGTTTTAACTTGGACTAATTTCAGTCCCAGACCAGAATAGACTTAAACAGGCCAAAACAGACCAGACTTTGACAGTTGTAAAATACACAGAGGCCAAACATGGACCAATTCAGACCACACCAGAAAATTTTAATCCAATTAAAGACATCCTCATACTGAATTGCTTAATTGAGAAGTTCATTTTCCGAACTACCAAACCATGATCAGTCTCCAAAAGGAAATGATCACCATTGTTGGTACTCGGTAGTGACATGAATCTTATGTTACAAATCAGGATAACATAACAGGCTTACAGGCTGTTTTATGAAAAGAGTGGGGATTTTTTCTAGAAACTGATACATACAAGGAGAGGCTACAAGTCCAGTATAAATATGCAAAACTAGTGTACTACTAGTAAGTAATGGTCTAACTAATACACCAATTAAATCACTAATACTAAGATATTCTGCCAGACTGCCACCAAATACACTGATTAAATCAAATAATGATGTATCTCTCAGTGTCTAAATTGATAGAAAATGATAAAAATATGCTTTCACCAAGTCACCACTAAAGAATCTATAACGATAACTATTCAAAACAAAACTCACCAAAAAATCAGTGTTTCCTTTATTTCTATCTTCCCAATTTAATAAAACAGAAAGCGTGGTGCACATTGGCGTCCATGCAAGGCAAGGATCCAGGAAAGGGTCCCATCAGGAGTCAGGACACCATAAGATTGTATAAGAAGCAGGCAATCCCATATCAGTTTGACAAGAGGCTGCTTTCAAAAGTTGGGCCCGTGACTGCCAAGTCACACAGTAACAATGTAACCGATGCATTAAGGCTCCCCTTCATCTTCCTTAATTCATGGATCTATAGAATATGGTTCCATTGCCAGAATATTTTTTCAAACTCTCCCATTATAATACAATATCTTCAAGAAGATGAAATAGATACTCAACGAGATGCAAAAGCCAATAAAAGAGTTGCAAAGCTATTGAGACACCATAGAAGAGAACACAATGAGAAGCAACACCACACCTCCACCGCCAAATTCGACTACAACCTTGCTCTCAACAGCTCAAACATCCCAAACCTAGTTCCTAACTTACGCATTCCTACCATGGTTTTCAAAGGCGTCAAGGCATCCCTGAAACGCCTATAACGCTTAAGCCTTTCCCCCATGTAATAAGGCTTACGCGGTACGCCTTTATTTTGCGGAGGCGCTGAAGCATGGTGGCGAAGGGCAGTGGGAGCAAGGCGTTGGCGATGCATACGCTTCAATTTCACCTCATGATGGGCTGATTTTTTAAAAGCCTGGGCCTGGAATACGAAATACCTGTTAGTAAACAATCGAGACTTCACTTCATTCGACAGTCATCTTCGTTGAAGTCTTAGGTTCTCAATCGCCTTCCACTCTTCCTAGTTCCTACGAGATTCACGACCAGACTCGAGGGGTGGCATTGGCGTTTCCAAAGCTCAAAAACAAAGACTTCAGGAGCGGCTTACTCCAAGTAATTATCCCACCACATTTACTTTAGTCTTTTTTGTGTTTTAAATTTTTTTATAGTTTAAAAATTCAGGTTTAAAACGTTTTAATATTTATACTACACTTTACCAGGCTACAGTCTTACAGTTTGAAGTAGTTTGAACACATTGTATAGAGTTATATGATATGGAGTATAGTTTAATTATTTATTAGCTTACACTTTGCAGTTTATAGTTTAATTATGTGAACCTTTTATTACTTGTATTGTTTTTAATGTCAGAATTCAAAACATGCATTTGTTTTTTTTATTGTATGTGTGTGCATTTTACGCCTCAATGTGCAGTGAGCATACGCAGTATGCAATATGAAAAAATTGCATCAATTATGCAATAAGCGATTCAAAGCTTGGTTAAGACCAGCCATACACCCACTGTAAATAGATTCCATTTAAGAGAGGACTTCACCAAGTCCCATTATGTTTGTTGGACAACGGAAGAGAAAGAAAAGAGAGAGAAATTGTGAACCAATAATGCATTAGACCGAAAGTTGTATGACACAAGATCCATACACTAAGGATAGCTTACCTTGAGCATAGCAAGCCCCAGGTGCAGTGGATAGAAATCCTACAGTCCTAGGATGGGAACAAAACAATTGATGGTTATACTTTTCCCTCTGATCCTATCTCATCCTAAATTATTCACAAAGCACTCTTGAGACATGGACCATTTTTGTAAGACTTCATCAATCCCAATTTTAAGTATTCATAGAAACAAATATGGAGTATGATTTATTAATCTGAATCTTATCACATTCTCAACTCCAAAGCCTGAAAATGTAAGGTTATTTCAAACCCATCTTTAAAGTTAATATACAGAGCATTAAGCTCAAAATGCCTCATTCTCGCACGCTTAAACCAAACAAACTCAATAGCATGTTAAGTTGGTAGATTACTTTAAAGTGTAAGTTTGAAGATCAAATGCTTGGATTTAAAACTGAATGTTCTATCTAATCGCTAAAGTCTTATTTTAAATAAAGGACACTACTTTCAAATACCCATTTCTCACCCACTTAAATAAAATAAAAAACACTCAATAACGCATGTTAAATTAGGAGCTTACCTTGGACTTCAGATTTGAAGATCAAACGTTTACGTTTATTATGGAAATTCTGTCTCATCGAGGTTGATAGTGGACAAATAAGAAGCTTCTCCAAAAACACAAAATTGCTAGAACCCCAATGGAGAAGGCATTTGGATCTATAAGCTCCATCCTCCCGTGCAATTAAAATCCTACCGCATCTGTCCCATATAAACTTCCTACTTTCGTTTTTCAAATTGTCCTCGAATAATCATTTACAGGAATTTTTTGGCACTTGATATTGGTTTTTACTTCTTTCAATTCTAAACAAATCTGAAACGAGTAATTCTTATATTCTTTAATTCCCAGAATGAAACGATAAGTTTAATTAGGGAGTTGGGACAGAGAGACTGATGTCCAGGTAAGAAACAAAACAGTATAAATAATTAAAGACTATTCATTTGTTACCAAAACTAAGATGATTGCCTCGCTAACAAAAATAGAGCGAATAAAAAACACCCAAAATTCAACCAAGCAATCCTGATAAATAGTGCAGTGCCAAAACTGCAAAATTAAGTCCGCACGTGGGCAGCACATTGTATGAATTATATCCAAGAGTTGAGATCACAAAGTAAACAGCGTGAGTACATATGGCGATATAGATACAAAGAAACATACGAAATGACATACATATCTACGGAGACATATACAAAGACATAACGGCAAATAGTCTTACCTCAGACAACGAAGGGTAGCTTTCGGTACCGACGGCGGCCATCGATTCAGTCAACGGCGGATGGCGCACGGTGCAAGAGATTTGAGGAATTCAGCAGCTCAACTATGGCGGATATGGGATGTGAATCGAAGCAAGGTCGATACGGTAGAACTCGCGTTCATCGATAAAGAATATGGGCTTATAGACCAAATTTATCACCATTCCGTTATTGGACTACAATGTAAGCACTCGCATGGTCTCATGCCACTCTTCATGGGCTTTACTTGATTTAACTAAAGAAAATGGAAAAATATTCATGTACGACACATTTATAGACAATATTTTTATAATGGACTGCAAAACTATCGAATATATTGTGATTGTGATGGTGTGTTTATAAAATATTGAGAATATTACCTGAAATCAAATAGGACTAAAAAGGTTTGAAAAATTCCAAAATAAGACTGACATGCTTTTATTCCCAAAATATGACTAATTACTGTCATGTTTTGGCAGTAACAAACTTCAAACATGGCAGTAGTTTCCAAACATGACAGTAATTACTCCTATTTTGGGAATAAAGAACATGACAGTCCTATTTTAGAATTTTCAAACTGTTTTAGTCCTATTTCAGGAACTTTCCCATAAGTATTACTCCCTTTGTCCCATTTAAAGATTCTCAATTTCCTTTTTAGGGCATCCCACTTAATAATGTAATTATTATTCTAATAGGTTTTTCCTATTTTAATTAGTTTCCTTGTAGTAGGATTCCTATTGTATTACGTTTCCTTATGTATTCTAAACACTTCTCTATTATATACTTTGTATATGACACTCAGGACTACCACATTGGTGAGCCTGTCATTATTCTAACACGGTATCAAGAGCCTTAGGGTTTAGGCAATACCCCGTATTAAATTTTTTCCCCAGTAAACATGAAATCTGTGAACACCGCCGCTGCCACCACATCGACTACTGTCGTGGCTGCATCAACATCGCCTGTGAGCGATTCGCCGGTTCTGAGCGCGGCGATCCTTCAGCCCGTAGCAGCAACGTCGCAGACGACAGCGCCGATCCTTCAGTCGCTTCCCTCGTCGTCGTTCTCTTCTGCTATCCTCTATGCACCGGCACCACCTTCTAGGTCCAGCCTCTTTACACATGGACATCGACGCCTCCTACTCTTCGTCCGCCTCCAAGACAGACCGAGGAGTCTCAGATTGACTCTAGTGCTGTCGCACCTGTCTGTGATCGTTTTGCCAGGCCAACCTTATCTGGCAGTTCATGTCTGATTCTTCTGCATCAGGCTGGGTCCGTCAGTCGTCGCTCGGTTGTTCCACCTATGCCAGAGACTTTCGCTGCTTTAACTCAGGTCATGGGGTTTGGAGTTCCATCCATTACCAATATTGTGACCATGAAATTATCTGTTGTTGAAGATTACTTGCCCTGTCGAACTCAATTTGAGTTGTTTTTTGTTTCCAATGGTCTCTTGGGAATCCTTGATGGCTTACTTCCGCACCATCTCCCTATACCTATGATCTGTATCAGGCTCAATCTGTTATTCCTGAATACTAGCTATCATTGGTTAAAATTGGACCAGACTGTTCGCTCCTGACTGTTTGCAACTCTCTCTCGTGATATTCTTATTGAGGTACATCAATTGAAAAATTCTACGTCTATTTGGCAACGCTTGGAGTCTCGATTTATGGCTGCCAATCTGGCCTGTTCCATGGAATTAAAACAAATGCTGACTCATATGAAAAACAATGATACTCAGTCCATGGAACAGTATTTGCTTGAAATACGGACTATTGCAGATAATTTGGCATCTATTAATTCCCTGGTGTCTAACCCATGATCTTATGCAACGTGCACTCTTGGGGTTTGGACCGGGATATGAGTCACTTGTGGGCCCTCTTACACTTTTTCCGGAAGATCTCACATTTGATTCCTTGTTCATGAAGTTAGTTCATTAAGAGGCCCGACTTAATTTTCAACAACGGCTGAACTCGTCAGTGAGTGCCCCTACGTTTGTTGCCTCATCGGCTTCAGGGGGTGCTTCAGTCGAGTCTGGTTCCAGCAGTCAGCAGACGCCGCATCAAAGAGGTCGAGGCGGTCGGGGTCGTGGCCAGCGCGGTAGAGGAGGCCGCGACCGTGGCCGCTACCAGCAGCAGCCATTTGTGACGCACACTGGCTACGGACAACACCATCTAGCCTACGGCCAGGGCCCTCCGCCGTACGCGCGCGCTCCTTATGGACGGGGGCAGCCTTCGCGTTACTCTCTGGGTCAATTGGGTACAACTTTTGTAATTCCGTTGAGTCATTGTCTAATACTTTTGCCTTATCTACCTTTGGTACTAACTATGGTTATGCAGGATCTCCAATTTTTTTAGAATAATTTTGCTTCTATTCCTCCACCTGTCGCCTCTCAAATATGTCATTCCCCCGGTCATTCTGCTGTTTCGTGTCCATCTCGCTTTGCTCAACCACAGGCTCGTGCCTTAGCTGTTCCCATCGGTAAAGTCTCTCCAACTGTTTGGTATCCATACTCCGGTGCCTCTGCCCATATGACCTCAAATGATGGTATTTTGCACAATAAATCTATTTATTCTGGACCACTTACTATTATGGTTGCTAATGGCACTAAGGTACCAGTAAGGACTGCCGGTAATGTGACTTTATCTGCTCTGCCTAGATCTCTCCATTTAAAATCTGTTTTTCATGTTCCTCATCTTAAATATAATTTTCTTTCCATTCAAAAATTATGTGCCGATAATAACTGTTTTGTAATTTTTGATAAAAATTTTGTCTGTGTTAAGGACCAAATCTCGGGGGAGGTGCTCCTTCAAGCTTCCCGTAGTGGTGGAGTTTATCGTATTTCTTTTAGCGATACTCAGCCTATTGCATTTACCTCTCAAGTCGCCCCTGAATGATAAACTTAAAAAGTCTGGGTCTATTTTTAGTACTTCAAATTTTTCCCATGATTGTTTTTCTTGTTGTTTAGGAAAATCACAACGATTACCTTTTCAAGAAGTTTGACATAAATCTACTGCTCCGTTATTTTTAATTCATTCAGATGTGTGGCAATCTCCAATTATTTCTCAGAGTGGTTTTAAATATTATGTTTGATTTATTGATGACTATTCTCGTTTTACTTGGCTCTACCCCATGCGCAATAAAAGTGAAGTTCTGAAACATTTTCAACAATTTAAATTAATGGTGGAAAATTTACTCAACTCTAAAATTACAAATTTTCAAAGTGATGGAGGGGTGAGTTTGATAATCATGGTATGTGTAACATTTTTCTTCAGTGTGGCATTTTATATCGAAAATCTTGTCCTGACACTGCACAACAAAATGGGGTTGCTGAACGAAAACATCGTCATCTCTTGGAATTAACTCGCACTATGCTTTTTGAAGCAAAACGGCCAACAAAGTTTTGGGTTGATGCGGTATTTAGTGCTACCTTCGTTATTAATCGTCTCCCTACTCCTAATTCAAATGGCACTTCTTCGTGTGAGAAATTATTTCACCATTCACCAGACTTCTTTTTATGTGTTTTTTTGGTTGTGCATGTTTTCCTAATTTTAATGCCACATCTGCTAACAAGCTTTCTCCACGGTCCACTTTATGTATCTTTTTGTGATATGCCCCTGAGTATAAAGTTATTGTTGTCTTGATCCTACAACTTACAAAATTTACATTAATAGGAATGTTCGCTTTTATGAAAATTATTTTCCTTACCCTTACTTAATATTGCCTCGCAATAAATTGGCTATGTCTACGTTATCCTCCGGTTCCGCAAGACCTCACTCCACCCCTACATAACCCCCCTTCCCCACCATTATCTACGACCACTGCCAATTCCTATACTCCAGACAGCCCGCCAGTCCAACTAGATTCCCCGCCCCACGACCATCACCAGCCCGGCTTTTCGTCGCTTGGCGGCAGCACCACATCGACCCCGAACTCCCAGCAGAACGTCTACTCCTTCATTGTCATCGGATAATTCATCTGATACCCCATTCGCATCACCTCCAGCCCAGCCGCTAACAAGCATGACCGACTGCACCTCATCCCTGGCACCACCTCCGCTGATTGGTCATGTCACGCCCCGGACCTACCCGGTCACGTCAACAACCCGCCACAATACGAATAGTCAACCACAGTCAAACACATCCATATTATACAAGGCGTATTGAATACCATTCACACATAAGTCATCCATAAACAAACATAATATGCAATTCAATACGCAGTGGAAAACATCGTTTAAAACAAATGCCACACAGGGCAATCATGAGCATGCAGGCTCTATAGTCAAATATTCATGAGCATGCTTATTATTGTTTAAAACAGAATGGAGAAAGCACGAACCAAGTCTTCTCTCCAAGATGATCACCCGAGCAACGAGCACAAGAAGCAAGCCCTAGCCTCAACCTGAAATGGTAGTGGGACGCCCCCGAAGGGGTCAGTACTCTACAGGGCCATAAAGTACTGGTGTGGATGACATCTAATAGATACACAACAAGTATTTCAAACACAAGACCATCAAATAGGATGACAGTACAATATGGGCTGTAACCCCAAGTTACCCCGTTTGAAAATATACTTATTTTATATAAAGTCAAGTAGTCGGCCTGTGGGCCCATGTTCATTTGAAAACACCTCCTATAGTCCCCGTGACTACTAGTCACGACAAATCCTAAATTTCAACACGTCACAATTGCATAGCAAGGACGCGGCCCAACTACATTTCTATGCAATCCTTTAACTCAAATTCAACACCTCACAGTTGCATGGCAAGGGCGCGGCCCAACTACGTTTCTATGTAATCCTTTAACTCAAATTCAACACATCACAATTGCATAGCAATGGCGCGGCCCAACTACGTTTCTATGCAAATCACAATTACATGGCAAGGGCGCGGCCCAACTACGTTTCTATGCAAATCACAATTACATGGCAAGGGCGCGGCCCAACTACGTTTCTATGCAAGTCACAATTACATGGCAAGGGCGCAGCCCAACTACGTTTCCATGCATTTCACAATTACACGGCAAAGGACGCGACCCAACTAAATTTCCATGCAATCATAGACTTCGGCTCTTCTTCAACGTCATAACCCAATTCCTAGGCAATTCATATGCCTAGAATTGTCATATCAAGAAACTGCTTTGGATCGCCCATAAGGACTACCCATACTTGATCTTAGTTTATGCTAAATCAATATAGGCACTTGAAGTACATTCAAGTGCATCA